CATAGAAAGCAGCTAAGAGGCCGGGTGTGGTGGCTCACACCTGTAATCCCAGCACTTTGGGAGGCCCAGGCAGGCAGATCACCTGAAGTCAGGAGTTTGAGACCAGCCTGACCAACATGGAGAAACCCCATCTCTACTAAAAATACAAAATTAGCCAGGCATGGTGGTGCATGCCTGTAATCTCAGCTACTCGGGAGACTGAGGCAGGAAAATCGCTTGAACCCGGGAGGCGGAGCTTGCAGTGAGCCGAGATTGCGCCATTGCACTCCAGCCTGGGCAACAAGAGCGAAACTCCATCTCAAAAAATTTTTTTTTTTTTTTGAACCGAGTCTCACTCTGTCACAAATATATATATATATATATATATATATTTTTTTTTCTGGAGAACAGAGACCACAATGTGAATGACATTTTGCTGGCTGTTTGTATGCAATTCCACCTTCAGCCCCCTTTTTCTAGATTCCTTTCCTCACACAGTCTTCCACCATAGATATCATATGAATCCTGTGATTGTCTCTCTTGATTGGAGGGTTTCTCCCATAGTTGACATTTTGTTGTTAGTTTTTTTTTTTTTTTCTGGAGAACAGAGACCACAATGTGAATGACATTTGCTGGCTGTTTTGTATGCAATTCCACCTTCAGCCTTTTTTCTGAATTCCTTTCCTCCACACAGTCTTCCACCATAGATATCCTTATGAATCCTGTGATGTCTCTTGATTGGAGGGTTTCTCACATGGTTGACATTTTGTTGTTATGCATCTCGAATTTAAATTCAGTCCTCTAGCTAGGCTTTCATTCTGGGCTTGGTAAACTGCCATGTGCCTTTAGACCTTTCCATAAAAAATAATTTATGAATTTTTGAGAGAGATTGGTGTTCCCAAAGCTAAAGCCAGACCCTTCAGACTTATCTAGCCTTAATCTAAAAAGATATAAGTAAAAGGACTGTTATCCCAAATTGGAAGAAAAATATTGCCCTTGCATTTACTGGGTACTTCCGTATTTAAATTCAGACTGACTCATATTTTCTAGCTCTGTCTACTTGACTCCCTAGTTAGAGCTCCCAGGGGGATGTCTTTCGCCTGGAGACTTATTCAGGCTTCCAGCAACTATTCCCTACACCCATCTCACCCTCCTCCTCATTCAGGAAGATTTAAAGTGAAAATGTGTAGCATAAACAAGGTCTTAAATCTCATCCCAAGAATTTGATAATGACAATACCAAAAGGCCATCTTGGGTCTTGGTCTCCTGCGTTAAACAAGCAGACTCAAAATTTATTATAACACTACAAACACTCTATAGGTCATAGGTGTCTTGAGTCACATCATATAAAATAAAATATTTTTAGATATTCTTAAAGAAAGGTCAGCAGGACCAAAATTATCCTTCCTTTTATGGTTAAGTTTATACTAGGGAGAATTTTTTTTAATAATCTGGAATTTGCATTTGCATTTTCCATTTATGATCAAAAAAACACAGTCCCCATGAAGGGACTGAGGCTGACTTTCAGGCCTTCTCCCATTGATTCCTGCTGGGGCCAGCAAGTCCCTGTGCAAAGCTATGAGAAGGCAAAGGTGCTTTCTGAGACCTGTTTGGCAATGGATATATCCCTTCCATGGTGATGAAACATTGCAAGTTATGGAGTATGTTCCATAACAGCATGTTAGCCATCAAAGGGTGCTCTTGCCTCAGAAATGATATACATAGACAAACACCTTAAACAGATTTAAAGAAGCTCCTGCCAGCACTTCCAACAGCTACTGCCCTTGTAACCACTGCATATTTGGAAAGTTTGGACCCTACGGGTGTGATATTCTTTCCCAAACCCTGACATATATCTAGGAAGGAGCCAGGTGGCCCACCTGGCCTAATAAGGTGACTGTTTGGAGTTGATCTCTATTTTGACACCAGATGGGGCCCACAAGAGGGTCCCATACCAAGGCAAATATGCATCCTGAAACAATGGGAAAAAATGACTATATTTCTTTCTTTCTTTTTTTTTCTTTTTTTTTTTTTTTTGAGACAGAGTTTCGCTCTTGTTGCCCAGGCTGGAGTGCAATGGCATGATCTTAGCTCACTGCAACCTCTGCCTCCTGGGTTCAAGTGATTCTCCTGCCTCAGCCTCCCACGTAGCTGGGATTACAGGCACCCGCCACCACATCTGGCTAATGTTTGTATTTTTAGTAGAGACAGGGTTTCACCATGTTGGCCAGGCTAGTCTCAAACTCCTGACATCAAGTGATCTGCCCGCCTTGGCCTCCCAAAGTGCTGGGATTACAGGCGTGAGCCACCACGCCCAGCCAACTATGTCTCATTTTTATTGAAAACAACAAACAATGACTTGGGAATTAAACATAGCCAATGCAGATTTAAATAGAAGGAAATGTTAAAGAGCCATATTCCATGCTAGAATCAGATGCCCTTTCCTGCTTTTCAAGTTTTGAGTGTTTGGTGAAGGATTCCATGATTTGAAGAAGGCAGAACGGGCTTGGGATGAGACCCCCATCTAGTAAGGGTCATATCTAAAACTGCCTGATTATCTGGTGAGAATGCTATCTCCTCACTAAAAGCCTGTGGTTAGATTAATGCTAGCATTTGAAAATCTGCTAAGGCCTGATGGTGGGCAGCCAAGGAAGGAATGTGTTTTCTGTTTATCTCTTTAGTGGCAGAAATGTTCATCACAGAAAGACTGTGAACTCCCAGTTTCAGGCATGCCTGGAAGTTGTGCAGCCTATAGTCTGTATAGCCTGTATAGACTGTAAAAACTGGAATGTGCACACCAGTTTCTGAACGACAAAAAAGAACCAGGCCTTTGTTTGCAGCCAATTACCTGGGTTGGTCGATGGGTTAATCAGTTTCTTTGACTTGATAACAGGGGTAGATCTTGTCACATTGTTCTGAAAGGAGGTTTTACCACCCCCGCTGTTCTATCTCCCAGGAATGCAGTTTGAGTTGTGTCTCCTCCTTGACAGCTTGGACCTCAGTAAATTACCAAGGTCTTGACCCAAAAGATGGAGAAGTCCTAAGTGATTTTTCAGTCTCCTATCTAAAAATGTGTTTACATTTCTTGAACTCTGGCTGACTGATTCATTCTCCTGGTGTTGCAAGAACTTTCCTTATGCATTAGAATTTATAAGTTTCATTTCTAAGAGGCCCATGAATCCTTCCAAGCCACAGTGTAGTGAACCTCATCACAACACAATTCTGCTGGGCTGGATTTGTCCCGAGGGTGGATCATGGCCAAGCAGCTGTGATGTGGCAAGCTCATTGAGGCTAACGGGAGGCAGTGTGATGTGGAGGGGAAAGTGCAAGACATTAAGTCAGGACATCTGGGTTCCGGGTCCTGGTCTTGTGTTATTTCAAGGTGTGCCCTTGAGCCAACTGAATGAAAATGCTTTCAGGGCCTCAGTTTCCCCCAGGCTGATTTAAATTTTTTTAAAAAATTGTTTTTTGAGACAGAGTCTCACTCTGTCACCTAGGCTGGAGTGCAGTGGTAAATCTCGGCTCATTGCAACCTCCACCTCCCGAGTTCAAGTGATTCTTGTGTCTCAGCCTCCTGAGTAGCTGGGATTACAGGCACGCATCACCACACCCTGCTAAGAAATGTTTTAAATCTGTGCAAAAGTCATTTTCAAAAACAGAAGCAGCTAGCTGAGAAACAACAGAAAAGGGAAGGTCAGCCCACAAAGAATGAGTAGAGGCTTAAGGTCAAAAAGACAAAGATACAGAGTGACGTATGGCCATTGGCTCCTAAAAGAGCTACTTATGAGTACCAAGTACGGAAAGAACTTTTTGTTCGACATTGGTCCCACGGAAGAGACTAAAACCTTTGTCAGTAGAGCCATGTGCTTAGCTAAATCTGTTCCTCAAATAAACATTCCTTTAGAATATTAAAATTACTTTTTTTTTTTTTTTCAGACGGAGTCTCACTCTGTCACCCAGGCTGGAGTGCAGTTGCGTGATCTTGGCTCACTGCAACCTCTGCCTCCCAGGTTCAAGCGATTCTCCTGCCTCAACCTCTGGAGTAGCTGCAACTACAGGCGCCCGCCACCACGCCCAGCTAATTTTTGTATTTTTAGTAGAGATGGAGTTTCGCCTTGTTGGCCAGGCTGGTCTCGAACTCCTGGCCTCAAGCAATCCACCCACCTCGGCCTCCCAAAGTACTGGGATTACAAGCATGAGCCACTGCACCCAACCAAATTTACTTTCTTAAGGGAAGAAAAGAAAAGCAAAATAAAACCTATCCTTTTGCACCATGGAGTTTTGGGGTTGGGCAGTCTTGGAGGGAAATCCTTACTCAAAACCTCACTAGTGGTACAACTTTGAGTGGGTTACTATACTTTTTGCACCTCCGCTGCCACACCTATAGAGAACATTGAGCATGGAGGGGAGTCATGGGCATCGCACGACAGCCCCTGCTGGTGTCCGGGTGGTGCCTGCTTCCCAGCTGGCTCCACGGTTTCCGTGGTTTCCGTTAGTCCCCTCCCTCCAGCCCTGCTTTGGCGTTTGCCTTTGTTTGATTCATGTTTCCACCTTTCCTCTTGCCCCTCCACATTATAAGGAAAAAAGGAAGCCTCTGATCTCTCTATTTGGAAGTTTGCAGAAGCCTTTTCCTACTTCAGTGAAGTGCAGTCATACAAAATTTATACTCAACAGCATCAGCAGATTTTTTCCATCAATATTTCCTTTTTAATTTCAGCTTTATCTGAATTTTAATAGCATAAAGAATTTACTTTTGTTCTTTTAAAGAGAAACCAAAACAAGAGTAATATGTATTTGAATATAAAGTCTTAACACTATGTTTAACATGGTGTTTAGACTATGCCTATAAAGGTTACAGGTGTTACTTGGTGAGTAAATTATGAATGCCATGGGTGTATATGTGCTTATAATCTTACATACATATGAACTAGGGGTGTGTGTGTGTGTATGGTATATATAAAAAGTCATGAAATCCAGATCTGACCACCTTGATATTTTTTCCTCTTTGATTGTCACTATAGGAAACACTGAACCTAGAGCCAACCTTCACATGAATCTTTACGAAACCTCACCATTGACCCAAACAACAGAGAAGCAGGTACAGTATTGACTCTGAATGAGGATGACACTGGGAGTCACAACTCGGGTTCTTGTCTCAGCTTGCTGTGTGGCCCTAGGTGAGACACTTTACCTCTCTGGGCCTCATTTGCCTAATCAGTAAAATGAGACAAGTAGACTATGAAATCACAGAGGTTCCTTTACTCTTAGACTTGGAATATCTTAACTCAACTTGGACTGTATTATTTGGCTCTTTACGTGTGTGAATAAGCTGAATAGGCCTTTCCCTGACTTCTGCGAAGTCAGAAAGGGAATAAGGGAACACAGAAAGGTGACATCCAATGAGGCAGTAGGCACTAATTTTCATTCGTAATAGAGATAAATATTGGCAATTAAGAAAAAAAAAGTGCAAAGGTAATCGTGAAGAAAGGAGGATGGTGCTTCATCTAGATATATTAAGAATTTCTATTAGTGGACTGGTCACAGTGGGCTCATGCCTGTAATCCTAGCACTTTGCAAGGCTGAGGCGGGCAGATCACCTGAGGTCAGGAGTTCGAGACTGGCCTGACCAATGTGGTGAAACCCTATCTCTACTAAAAATACAAAAATTAGCCATGTGGTGGCACGCACCTGTGGTCCCAGTTACTTGGGAGGCTGAGGCAGGAAAATCGCTTCAACCTAGGAGGTGGAGGTTGCAGCGAGCTGAGATCATGCTGCAGCCAGAATCCAGAGCGAGAGAGCGAGACCCTGTCTCAGAAAAAAAAAAAAAAAAAGAGTATCTGTTAGTGGTTCAAGGACATATGTTCACAAATATTTATAAGTTTGTTCCCTCCTTGGAAGCTTTGAAGCTGGAACTGTCTTCAAATTCTCTGTAGAGAGACAACTCAGGGGAATTCCTAGAACTGAATCCAGGGCCTCGGAGAACCTGAGGCAGAGGCAGCACACGCAGCTGCAGGGGACTCACAGGTCTCACCCTGCTGTGTGACACCTTCAGTCCATGATCTTGATTTCTCCATTCTGTCCACCTTCCTTCCTGCCACAGCCTGGCTTTCTATTCTTCCCCAGCACTCATTATGCATAATGATAATAGAAATGGGTTTGCTTTCATCTGTGTGCCCGAGCTGGGCTCTGAGGTAGGACCTGAACTCTCTGTGACAACCCTAGGCCTGGGTCAGGTCTCCACTGAGGTGAAACGCAACTGAGCAACTCCTCCCTGCTGCCAAGGAGCTGCTGAACCAACATTTGCATTTTTTAAATGCCCACTTTGCAGACATCCCATTTAAGGGAACTAGAGACAGAGTTTTTGAAAGAGTATGTGACTAAGGAAAACATAATATGGTGTATTTTGATAATTCTGCAACCCAAAGGCCATGCAAAGGCCTCACATACCCTAAACATACCCCAAATTCACACAGCCCCACGGTTCTGTTCCAAAAGACCTACTGTCACCTGCAATGAAAGAGAGGCTCAGGCGGGCGTGGAGGCTCACGCCTGTAATCCCAGCACTTGGGAGGCCAAGGTGGGCGGATCACAAGGTCAGGAGTTCAAGACCAGCCTGGCCAACATGGTGAAACCCAATTTCTACTAAAAATACAAAAATTAGCTGGGTATGGTGGCACGCCTCTGTAATCCCAGCTACTCGGGAGGCTGAGGCAGGAGAATCACTTGAATGCAGGAGGCGGGGGTTGCAGTGAGCGGAGATCACACCACTGCACTCCAGCCTAGGCGACAGAGCAAGACTCCGTCTCAAAAAAAAAAAAAGAAAGAAAGAGGGGCTCAATCATGTCTAATTAAATCCCAGGCTGAATTATTAACTTTGCAGTCAGAAGAAGGAACACCAGAGCGAGGGGTCTTAAACTTTCATCCCGGTTTCCCCTGTGAGGCTGTGGAAAGTTAGCTCTCTGAGAAGCCCATGTGCCTGCCTCCTTTGTGAAACAGCGGGGTGGCTCCCACCAGGAGCGACTTGTCCAAGTCGCAGTAGTCCCAGTTCCTTTAGAAGCAGCCCTGGAAAGAAAGGGCATCTGAGGAGAAGTCTAGGGAGCCCCACCAGCCCCAAACACAGAGAAAACAGGGTGGGAGGGAGGTAGGGGTGTCTTCCTGGCCTCCTGCACCCCTGCTTACTTCTCAAGGCTAATGGCCTCTTATTAGATTAATCACTGACTTTAGTTTTAACTACTTCCTCAGCCTACTCCATGGCAATGACTAATTTCATGTTTATTATAAAGCATCTGGAACACATTTAGGACAAATTTCTGTCCAGCTGATTTCAGTTCCCTACATTGATGGGCCACTGGCAATCCAGGGGATTCTTTCCCTTGTGGCCTTTCCCACTCTGAAGCAGAGGACATCACAATACTGATCTTAGCAGCACCGTTCCTTTCCATCAGTTCCCCCACTGACTCCCCCTTCCCTCCCTTCCTTGGGATCTGACCCTATTAGGGGTTCAGTCACATGAAAGACTTGTACTTTTATCACAGTGCTGGCTGAGAGAGGGGAAGACTTGCCAAAGGTGGATATTCTGGTATTACCACCCTCTAATGAGAAGTCGCAGGCCTAGATTTAGAAAACAATCTCTGGCGTGTGGGTTGGGGAGAAAGCCACAGGGTGCTCTGCAGAGGCTGGGGTGACAGCATTCCCTGGGCTGGAGGCTTCTGCAGAGGCCCTACCGCTGCGATGCGAGAGCCTTCACCTTGGCCCCTCGGAGGCTGTCCGCACTGTAATGGGAGCAGAAAGGGTTAGGCTCCTTCCTCCAACACACGATGAGGATGGCAAGTGGTGGGAATGGCTCCCAAGGCACCTCTTCCACACCTGACCTGAGGAGCGGGGCCTCAGCAGCGAATCCATCAAAAGAAACGAGAGTAGCAACTGATACCAGCAAGTTCCTAGGAGTTAGAAGAGGGGTTGAGGTGGTGGGGGCGGGGGTAAGAAAACTACAAGGGGAAATGTGGAGATGAAAAGAGAGCAATGAAAAAAGAAAAAGGAGACAAGCAGACATGTTTCAACTCCAAGCTCCCATTTCCTCTTTCAAATGAACTGCTTCCCCACTGTGAACAGAATCAAGTATTTATGAAGGCATTTTTTGCATATTAATAGCTGCATATGGAGCATTGCCAGAGCTGCAGTCCTAAAGGTACGGTGCCCTTTTTTAATGCAGGTCTTTCAAACTCCTCACAGAATTTGGTATTCTCCTTCAGATTTATTTTCATTTCTGCCTCGTGGCTCCTCCTAAGGCCCTTCATTTGATTAAGGGAAATTAGTTCCTGGGATACTTTCAGAGACAGAGTATTGCTCTTACCTCGGTGGGCCGCTGACATCAATCGCTGGAGAAGCTTTTCCTCTCCCCCAAGGCCTCTTTGAGTAGAGGCCGCAGGTTGGGTTAGGTGACCGGCACCTAAAAAGAGTATTAAAATTACAAATGAAAATTTCGGGAGGAAATATTAACATAGCTAGACAGTGGTAGGAGAAAGTAAAACTGGAAAAAAAAAGTAAAATAATTTCATTAACTTTACCATCTATACTCAGTAAAGATTACCTGCAATTTTAAAAGAAAATCATTGAGAACCATGATAAAAATAAGCAAAAGACAGAAACAATTCATATCCAAAAAGGAGTAATAGAAAATAAATACGAAAAAAATCATTCATCTTGATTAACAATTTAAATGTATATTGAGGCAAACTATAAGTACCATCTTATATCTGAGATTTGTGCCTTCTCTTACTCTTTTTCAATGGTAACACCCAGGGCTGCCAGGGTTTTAAAACTGGTATACTTATACACTTCTGGTGGAACACAGTTTTGATTCAATCCCTTCGTAAAGCAAAATGGCAATATAACTCATGAAACATGAAAAATATGAAATATCCATTGATTATGTATTTCTGACTTCCGGGAATTTATCCTAAGGAAATAATTCAACAGAAAAAAAAAAAAAAAAAAGTCAGTGAAGATGTCCATTGCAGCATTATCTATAACAGAGAAAATCTGGAAACAGTCTAAGAGTGTAACATCAGAGAAATGATTTTGGGGAGATTTAGAATCTTGTAGCCTCCAGCTGCATGACTCCTAAACCATAATTTCTAATTTTGTGGCTAATTTGTTAGTCCTGCGAAGGCAGTCTGGTTCACAGGTAGGAAGGGGGTTTGTTTTGGGAAAGGGCTGTTATCACTTTGTTTCAAAGCTAAACTGTAAACTAAGTTCCTGCCAAAGTTAGTTCGGCCTACACCAGGAATGAGCAAGGACAACCTGGAGGTTAGAATCAAGATGGAGTTGGTTAGGTCAGATCTCTTCCACTGCCTCAGTTATAATTTGGCAATGGCAGTTTCACCCTCGGTGAAGGGTTTAATTCAAGCATTAAAAAAGGATGATTGTTCGTACTAGAAACTGAGATTTAATACTAATGTTTAACACAGGCAACATCATTGACATTTTGGACCAGGTAGTCTTTGTTTTGGGGAACTTTCCCATTGATTGCAGGATGTTAAGCAGTATCCCTGGCCACTGCCTACTAGATGCCAGTAGCACAACCCTCCCCGGTTGTGACCATCAAAAATGTTTCCAGACCCTGCTAAATGCCTGCTGGGGAGCAAAATCACCTCCAGTTGAGAACCACTGATTTAACTTTTTTTTTTTTTCTTTTTGAGATAGTATCTCGCTCTGTTGCCCAGGCCGGAGTGCAATGGCGCAATCTCGGCTTACTGCAACCTCCACCTCCCGAGTTCAAGCAATTCTCTTGCCTCAGCCTCCCAAGTAACTGGGATTATAGAATCATGCCACCACTCCCGGCTAATTTTTTTGTATTTTGATAAAGTTGAGGCTTCACCGTGTTTCCCAGGCTGGTCTAGAACTCCTGAGCTCAGGCAATCCACCCGCCTTGGCCTCCCAAAGTGCTATGATTACAGGCATGAGCCACCGTGCCCGGCCTGATTTAACATTTTAAAAGTGGAAATCAAAATAAGTCCACTATGGCTGCAACTGTATATAAAAAAAAAATGTGTCTGTTCAGAAAAGACTTGCAAATAATGCATGAAAAAAGTGCAG